CTGTTTTTTTGAGAATATTTTGTTTTGTTTTTAGTGCATTTTGTTTTGTTTTTAGTGTATTTTGTTTGGAAGTCGGTTTTGTTTTTTTTTCTACAACAATGACACTTCATTAAATAAGTCTCAATGTCATGACCCGCATTTAAAATGAAATATATTATTTTGTTCACTTGCACAATACAAAAATATACATCAATTTTATTCTACCGTTTCTTTTTCTTTTACGATAGTTCAGTAATGAGTATGTTGTACGGTAGGTTTCCATTGTAGAAATACCTGTACAAAAATCTTTTGCTATCTCTGTTTCTTTTAAAGAGAATGAGTAGAAGGAGGATATGTATTGTACATGCATTGCAGTAAAGGATACGCACAGACTTTATATTTTTGAAACCATATAACTCTAGCCTTCTTTTAATTGTTAACAGTTACGAGTAAAGTAAAAGATTATAAAAACTTTAAGAGATAACCATCAGAGATGGTAAATTATTTTACAATTTCTTTAATTAACATTTTGCTTTATAAAGCTTACCCGTAACCATCTAGCATACTATAGCCGCGCGATGGCCACGTTTTATTGGATTAGTTAAAAATATATAATTGTTGTAATGGAATATTCAATTTTAATTTAATTAATTTTACAATTTTAATATTTATACTCTGTTGGGCCTCAACGAATTGTTCGTGTATTTAAAAAAAATCTGATTTCTCTTTAGTAATCACTCTAGGTCAAATTTAAAAATTAACAGTGCTCTAGCTTTAAAAACAGCTTCGACATATCTTAGCTTTCAGTGTGGAATTGTCTTTATTGTATTGTAATTATCTAATTACAAGTATCATAAAGCCTTCGGAACTTAAAAGTAAGTCATTGAAACATGATGTAAGTACAAGTAATTGTGTTTTAACAATTTATTTTTTCATTGCTACAAAGGTTATGAACCCAAGATCAACTTTTGGCAACGGCTTAAATGCTAATTATCGTTCAAACTATTGAGATGTTATTATTTAGTGTTGAAATACTATTTACTAGCTGTTGCTCGCGACTTCGCCCGATACATGTTAATTATCGCAAAAAAATATACATGATACTCACAGATAATAAAGCTTTCTAATGGTAAAAGAATTTTTAAACTCGTCCCAGTAGTTTTTGAGTTATTGTGCAAATCCATCCTCTTTATAATATTAGTATAGACTAGTGTTAGCCCGTAGGTTTAAATATACTGTAAAGAACATCATAAGTGTGTCTAAATACAAATTAAATCTAAGAAAGTTACGTAAAATAGTTAACATAAAGTTAACTAACCGTAAACTATCTAAAGTAAAGATAGTATTACACATTAATTTAATTTACAATTTTTAAAGTGATTGTGACACGTTACGCTTCGGCGACGCAATCGATTCTCCACAATTTCGCTCTATTACAATTGTTCTATGAGATACTATCAACAAACATTTCCTAACTACTTCTCAGATAAGTGACTTGCCAAAAATACAAAACTATTGTTTAATTATTGCGTTTATCGGAATTAACTTAATGTGATGTGACCGGAGTGGGAAATGTTTATGAAATACATTTAACGTGGGAAATGTAGTGACGCAGTATCTCCTTGTTTTGCGTTGAAAAAGAAAGAGTAAGCAGTAAGCAACAAGATTTGAAAATGTATACATAGTTATAATAAAATTGAAGTGTCTGTTTGTATTATCAAAAGAAAAATTCTAGATTTCAGAAACATTGTATTTGCGTTGCTGATAACGAAAATTGTATTTTTTTTGTCTGTTTGTTTGTCGGTAATCGGTAATCTCCGAAACGGCTGGACTGATTGTGACCGGACTTTCACTGAAGGGTAGTTTACATAGCCGGCTATATTATAGACTACTTTTTTTTTTACTCTGCGCTGTCAAAATGGCGTAACAGGTGGTCCAAATTTGCGCTAGCGAAGTTGGAGGGCAACAGCTCGTTATTCTATTAACAATAATAGTTCCTAAACATTAGTAATAATAAAATATAGCCTATGTTACTCACAGATAAATTACCTTTCTGATGGTGAAGGAATTTTTAAAATCGGCCCAGTAGTTTTTGAGTTATTTCAATACATACAAAAATACAAAGTTTTCCTCTTTATAATATTAGTATAGATAGAATTGTCTTTGCCACAATCAGGTTAAAAGATTTATATTGAGTTTACATTAAAAATAATATTTTATCATCTCCAGACAAAAATAGTAGACAATAACTAAAATTTCATAATATCGTCTGCGAGCTTGTTTTTTTACATGTCCAATTTTAACAAATGCTCAGTCAAATTGTAATTTAAATACGACCGACTGTAAACACGTTGCGACATCTAAGTTAAATTTTTATAGTAAATTGCGAAAGATTTGCCGTTCGAGTAGACAGAAAAATAGAGAACAGTTGCTGAAGGTACTCTGTGCAGCAAACATAGCTCTGTAGTAGCTAATCTATCAAGTGAACTGCTTCTATTTGTATTAAAATTACGATACACAATGTGGATATACGGAAGATATCAGTGTGTATGCTAATAAGAAAAAAAATCTACTAGCTTTCAATGTAATAAAAAAAGTTTTTTTAATGAGTTTATCTTCGATAGTACGGCATTGTGACTGTGTTCGTTAGGGGAGAACGTGGGGTCGCTCTGTGATTGTGACATGATTTTCCCGTCCCTAAAGAGTTTTCCCCTAGTTTCCTGTGATTTAAGTTTGCAACATGAAACCCTCGCCGTGCACGATAATGACTTTTTTCATAGGTAAGTTTTTTTTTGTTATATTTTTGTTATGAACTTTCCGGAAACTTTGAAACTCTGGATTACTTAAAACATTTATTTAATTTAAAGGCTTTTTTCTTTCATAAGTGTTGGTAGTCGATGGTCAAGGGGGAGCTAGTAGTACAACTTTTTTCTTCGTCTTTAGGAGGCTGCTTTGCCCTATCGTCTGGCGACGTCCATGTTTTCTATATATCCCACCTTTCATATTATACATTTTAAAATATGATCAATTCAAAACAGACACGGTAGTGATCACGAGTTGGTTGTCTTTTACTATTTTTACAACAAACTTTTATTTTTACTTTTGATATTTTAATATTGTAAAGTAGCTAATTACAATGTTCTTTTTGTGTAAGAGAACATGCTCTCCGAGTTATGTTTTTATCGTTAATTTTATTTTACTATGTGCTATGGACAAATGGTACGCTGAAACTTCTGTAAATTTATATTATCCTGTACAGATATTACCGTGAAATTTTATTTTTACTACGTACGTAGAATGTTCTCTTGATAGGTTTCCAAAAGCCATTTTATTTGAAGAAGGGTTTATGGTGGTGAAAAGGAGTATGAGAGAAGAATGCAATATTCTTTGTTAACTGATTATTAAAATTGGAATGTTAAAACGAAGATTGACGATATTAAATTATGTAGAGTATTTATTTTCGCAGGAAGATTTCATCTTATTATAAAAAAAAAACATAAAGTTGGTAAACAAGCCTTATTACATGAAGTGATATATACAAAAAACATACTTGTACTTGAAAAGACGAATAAAAATATTTTATTACAATTAAAAATTCCAACAAAACATACACATATAGAGTAAACTTATAGTAGGTATTGAAAGAAACGGTAGATTTTTTTAAGATTTCCGTGTATAGACAAAAAAGCAGAAACATAATATTGGAAATGTTTGTTTTTGAATATTCATAGTAAGTTTTTATAGAGTTAATTAAGGTCAAAATTAAAGTTTCATATTAAAATGCACAAAAATTAATTAAACTTTTAGAAACTATTTCGTACATTGTGTTTGATTCTTTCCTTTTGTTATGCCAAGTATCTACTTCTACCAGGCTACTTATGTACGTAGGTTATTAAATTATCGTATTGATTACATATATTTACGTAATTATATGCTTATCCATTTACCTTGATCAACATGTTATAATACATCTCAAGTACAGTGTAAATATACAAATTGCTTTGTAAATTGATGATGCAGTATAACGTGATGCATTCAGGGTTAAATGTTGACTGCAGATATTATTAATTCACATTGTCATGGAATATTTTATGGTAAATAATGATTACATGTATGCATACGAAAGTACATAGGTATTATAGGTGAATAAACAAATCTTGTTTGTATATAAAAATGCATTGCTGATAAATTTTAGTAAAAACTATTATATAATTCCCCTAAAAACTTAGTACGCTCCGAGCCCCACATTAGGGAGGTATAGTGAGCTAGTGATGATGATTTTTTTGTTGTTTTCACACAAATATTTCCTCAATGAAAAGTCATAGTTATACATTATTAGAAACGTTATTTTATTTAATTTCAGGTATAGCAGAAATCTGTTACATGCCAGCTCCGATAGGCGAATGTATCAACTGTTGTCTGAGAGATGACGGCATTGACATCCAGTACAAGCTATTCAACAGGTATTGGTTTTCTTAAAGTGAATTCAGATATAGCTGATAGAGATGTATGGAGAGCAGCATATTGTGTCGACCCGCTGTAGAAAGATGGGCAGGTTGATGAGGGTTTTTTTAAAAGCACTATACGATTTGAAGCGCCAATAACTTCCCATAAGTTATTATACGTGGCCGTCAGTTGGAATGACCTCCATTCGATTATTGTATACCATCTCTTTTTTAAGAGGGGAAATGCGTTGCACATCCCATGTGCCTTAGGAGAAAGACACAGGGTATTTGGGGCTCTCTCCACATCCCTGCCCAAATAGAAAGGGACGTGGAGCGTATCCACTAAAACCCTTCTGGTTTCTTCGACTTTACCGTTGATTTGGGCATTGGTTCATGTTAATATTTATCATACACCCCAGATCGTGTATCTCCTAGCGCAAGCCAAGAGCTAAGTTGGAATGGTACAAGTATCAGAAAATAATAAGAATTTGCAATTAAATTGAATTTTATATACTTTGATAGTTTGTATAATGTACTAAAATGTCTCGACATATTATCAATGATTCGTTCAGTTCATAATTTACCAGTATTTTGTTACATGGCTATTGTAAATTAATATGTTTTTGATAATCACATAAAAGGCGTAGATTTTTGTTCCATGAAACGAAATTAACATTATGTTATGAAACAATATACTGATAATTTAAATGTACATAAAATCTTGGAGTATAACATTACGGCAACAACCTTGGACCTCGTGCGTAACAAGAACAGTTTTTTATTTTAAGTTTACATATGAATAAAGTTTTTATAACATACGATGTTTTTCCAATCAGCAAAAATCATCGATACTTAGAATGATTATTAGCACAAAAATATATTTCTATGCCTAGTTTTTAAAGCAATGAAAGGGACGTGAATATTTTTCTAGAATTCAGGAAATTCACTAAATATAGATAAACTTATTGTTTATATTTCAGAGCGCATCCTACGACGTTCCATACAGTCCCATCAAATAATTTAACAGAGTTGTCCAGAACTGATTTCGACATCTCAAAGCCAACCGTAATCTACGTAATGGGCTTCTCAGAGGCTATCACAGGAGCAAGCACTATAACTATAAGAGATGGTAAGAAAATTTTATTTCATCCGAAATAGAAATAGTATTGAGATTCATAAAGTAGTGGCATATACTGTGCCGACCCTCCATAAGGGATAAGGGCTTCAACTTGATGATGGGGATTCATAAAGTGGTGACCCCTGGGTTCCTTGGAAGACCCTACAAGGAAACGATGTGGAAAATAACTGGGTTTATGAGTAAAGAACTGTAGTAGTACATGATCTTGAAACCAGTAAAATTATAAATTGTCAAAATGTTAGTCTCCACATGTTTGGGAATTTCCGATAAAACCAATTATTTCCTTCGCTATTAATTTAATTATCTATCCTTATTAAAAACAAAATTATACAAAAGTGTTGCCTAAGAATCAAATCAATAAAACATTTTATTATTCATATCTGTCAAGTGACGATGTGATAAATGCAAGACAAAGCGGAAATTCGAAAACTTATATTGGAAGAAACGCGTTGCCAAAATTTTATCAAGTCTTACACAGCATTAGCAAAGTTTTGAACTTTGAAAGTAAATTTGCCAAGTATCAAAGTTTCGATTAAGTTTCAAATTGTATAATTTTTATACGGTAATTTTTTAAATGGATATTTGTAACTGAAGCTTGAAGTCTTGCAACTTTATCTGCGAGAAAAGAGAGTCTTGACCTATTAAAGTTAATTTTTGTCTCTTTTGCTAATAGTCACTTAATGTTCTAAAATGTAGACTTATGTTGTTTTTAGATAAGTATTTTAATTTTCTATATATTCATTAAGAGAGTAAAACGCAGGAAATGTACCTCCACAAATAAATAAAGCATAAAAATTGTTTCATTTCAGAATATCTAGCGACCAGTGATTGTAATTTTATCTCTGTGGATTGGTCACGTCTTATGCCATTCCCTTGGTAAGTAATACTGTTTGTTTTAATTTGTATAAATAATATTGACCTAATCCTGTTTGTGTGTCAGGAAACAATACTACAAACTTTATTCCAACTACTAAATAAAATCAATGCCAGAAATGTTCAACAGAAAGTAATAAATCCTTATTTAAGCGTCCAATGTTCTTGTGTAGACAAAAATGGTACGCTTGGGAATTTGAGTTGTACGCTGTACTATGTGAATTTTATTTATTGCGTCTTTATGTAAATATATTTCTTAGTTTTCCGCATACAAAGGCGTAAACATGATAGTTGTATTTTTACTAAGTTTATTTCGTCTTTGAATTTGAATTTGCATCTATTTACAATCAGAGTAAAAAATACTTAGAAGTAGACAGATAGCCTTGTCAGAGTAAAAATTAAAAAAACATAAGAATCACTAGACGAGGAAAGCAGAGGATTGAGAAAGGCTTTTGTCCAGCAGCGAAATAAAACAGGCTAATGATGGCGATAATAATCGTATCATTGTAATGATAAATTCCAGATAGCATATATAAAAGTTACTTGTAAAATAACATTTGTGCAATGAACTTTTCAGGTACGTTACAGCAGTTAAGAACACTCGATACATGGGAGCAAAACTAGCAGACTTTATACAGTATCTAGACACAGTAGGCTCGAGGGCATCGTCATTACATGTGGTAGGATTTTCTTTAGGAGCCGAAGCCGCGGGCTTTGCGGGAAAGATGTTGAAATCGAGAGGTCTGCAAATAGGCAGGATAACTGGTATGCATTTTTAGTTAAATTTACTAAACCAAGAGTTCTGTAGCTGTCAATTTAAATTAAAAAAAAATATCAAAATCGGTCCACTAGGGGCGGAGTTATGCTATAACACACATTAAAAAAAACATTCAGACGAATTGAGTACCTCCTTCTTGTGGGAAGTCGGTTAAAAATTAGCTTAGACTGAAACCTCGTTGAGTTTGTTAAAGTACAGATGAAAGTAGATCTACTTTATTGTAGTTTGCAGACAAATGATATTTGTAAGTTTTCGTGTTTTGAATCTTTTTGTTGAAGTAGTTCGTTTGTTTCGTGCGTTACAGTTAATCCTCGGATTTAGGTTTTAAGTTCGCCCGCGAATTTATTATTCCTTTATAGTAAAAAGCTTTGTTTCGTTTTCAGCCAAAGAGCAGTAATCCTCTTTATGGTTTGTACTTAAAAATTAAAACAACTGCGGTAGTCTTAAAGAATATAAAACATAAATGGTGTTTCTAATAGATTGTGTTTTTATGTTTTAAAACATGCTTTTAATCGTAAAAAGTAATCCTCAAAGCGACCATACATACTCATGAATAAAAATTTTACCTAACTGTGAAGCTTTTTCTTTGTTAGTTCTAATCTGATATGTTTGTTTTATAACTGAAAAATTGTGGTAACCTTTTCCAGGATTGGACCCTGCTTACCCAGGCTACACCTTCACGAACGCAGATGGTCATTTGTCTAAAGGTGACGCCGCCTTCGTGGATGTCATTCACACAAATCCCGGAATCTTCGGCTTCCTGACTCCGATCGGGGATGTCGACTTTTATCCTAATTACGGATCCTGGATCCAGCCGGGATGCTGGGTTGATCAGCTCGTTAAGAATATGGAAGTGAAATATATTTGTAAGTATACCTTTTGAAATGCTGTTTACTTACAAATACTTGTTTTGAAGAATTTTACTTGTGGTTATGTGGTATTATAGTTTGGACGAAAATATTTTCAAAAACTGCTGTATGGATATCTTTAGTCTCAGTCGGATTCCAGTGGACAGTTGTCTCTTTTTTTGTTGGTCATTTTTTTCTAAACAATATTTTCCTGCTTACCCTAGAAACGTTAATTGTTAGGAAAAATCCAAAAAGTTTGTTTTAGTATGTTTTACTTTATAATGAAAAGTCAAAAAGTACGTGATCTACCAAAAGTTCGCAGTAGACGTTTAGAACAAAGGAGTTGCGGCACCCTTCATTATCCCAGTACGAGATAAAACTGTCGTAACAGGGTTTCGGCTGGATGCGATCGATGCTCTGACGTCACAGCGCGGATGCTGCAAAGCGGGAGGGGGGACGCACAGTAGGCACTGGGTTGAGGGGTGGGGTACAAGCAACGCCAAATACGATTATTTGTGCTGAAGGAACTATTACTATTACGTTTTATGGGCCGTATCGCTTACACAACATATTTAATGCTTTGTTAAATTATACTTGATTGTGTAACTTTTTTTACTAGTCTTTAGATTTATCTGAGGAAAGTTTATTAACACTTTTACGTGATTTGACAATTTGAAACTTGATATACCTAAAAAAAAGTTATTCTTATAACAAGTTTTATCTTATAGTCACGTATAGAGATGAAAACAGTTTTTAATCTCGCCGTTTTATCGTGAGTGCACCTTTGAGAGCAACCTGCAGGTCGCCGCATACTCCGCTGGCATAGAGCCAAATACCGTACAATGCCCAAATGTCAATAACTGATTTCTTATCACACATTCGTTCCGACCACATTTTTTTTATTTTATTCAGATCACTACATTTTTTTTCTCTAAAATAGACAATCTTGACGGTTATAATGCCAGTATGATATACATAATCTTTAATAACTATTTATACTTGTATCGAAAAATTATTATCTTCATCGGAATATCTTTGGCAAGAGAAATATTAAATAACAAAGATCGAAACAGTTGCGTCACAAAGACCTCTGAAGATACTGAAAGTGTTCAAATATGCAATAGTAGCTGCGCCCGGCAACTGCGCTTGTCGATCTAACCAGTTTCCGTAATTTCTTAAAACAATTATTCCGCAAAGTCCGATCAACTTAGTATAATTTTAATTTAGCGTCCCAATAAAGTTCTACATTTCCAGATGGCTGCAGTCACATTCGAGCGTGGCGGTACTACGCAGAGTCCCTCAGGAACCCGACTGGATTCCCCGCCACGCTCTGCAAGACTTGGCGAAACCCCACCAGTAACTGTGGCTTCAGTGTAGACGGATATATGGGCATAGGAGCTCAACCACCGTTAGTTTTTGCAACCCTTTTTGTATCGACACCAAAAAAGACATTTATGAAATATACAGACTAGGCATAGTGAACAAAATCTTTTACCGGTACTTTACCTGAAGGGTACTATATCAGTTTTCAAGTTTAGACAACTATTGGAAATTAATTTAAATATAATTAGATTTACATGTGATGAAGAGGATCTATTAATAGGCAGCGTTAATGTGATAATGTAAAAATGTTTCAAGTGAAGTGTCCAATATGCCTAATCTATATATTTGAATCTCTTTGATTGACTACGTGTCTGTTTACCTCATAGGGAATGTAAGGGATGTCCATATCTCTCAATATTACGTATTACCTTCGAATCGCACACATAGAAAATTTCATAATTAATGATTTTTTTGCAGGATCAAAGGGATAATGTACTTGGAGACGAATCAATATTCACCGTTTGCAAGGAATGGGCCATAAAGCATTAAGATAGATAAACTTGTTTTGTTTTAAATTATTGTTGAATAATGTTTTATTGTTTTCAATGCTGTCTTCTATCCCGCTATCTCTGTACAATAATTTATTAGTGAGAACGAACATTACTAGTCACTTTATGATCGAATGTTCCTTATATACTTAGCGTAAAAGAAAAACTAAAATAAAGCAAAAAGAGGATTGAAAAGTTTATTATCTTCGAATATCTTTTAGAGCGCGCGCAAACCTTTGACTAAACTATCGCACAACCGTTGTACGATTATCAATTGTTTCGCAACCAATTTAACTGTTCAGTTGCCTGACTAAAAAATCGACCTTCGTAAAATCTCATAGAAAGCAAAGCAAGACTTAACAATTGTGCGATATTTTAGTTACAGGTGTGCACGCTCTAAATCTTGTAAATGCTAATTAAATGTATTTGACGGTTTAGAATAGATGTGGTTATAATAAAATATGTTAAATTTATGATTGTTTTTCAATATTACCACCTTGTAACTGCAATTTCGCCAAAACACTTAATTTCTCATAAAAATTTACTTTTAATTTTACAAATAACATTAAGATTTTTAGTACAAATAAAAATAGCAATTAATTAAATATAACAATAATAAAAAATAACAAATGAATACCGATTCTATTTCAACATTATCACAGACGGACGGATATAAGTTCTTGGTATATTGGTTTGTTACATATTGGCATATGCGCAATCATCAAACCGTTCATAATGTTTCGGGGTAAAGAAGTGCAACTGGGAAGCTTCTAATCGACAGGAAGAGCTACAGTATTTATTGTACCACTCGCAGACCAGTCGTTCTTTGTAACATAATTCGTTCATCGCTACATTCATTAGCGTGATTTCTGTATCCGATAGCTGAGGTAATCCAAAGTTCTTCGTGATCCCTGATCCGTTAATCTCCACCAAGTTGGCTATGAATCTGTATAAATGTTTCGATTACATTAAAGCTACATTCTGAGTTTAATGGTAACTTAAAAAGGCCCTTAGGGCCTGTTCCACCAAATTGTAAATTGTCTAATAACAACCCAATGTAAAGAATATGTGAGAAAATAATCGGATTTTGTTCCCTTATTTGCCAGTGACGTCATTTTTAAGCTATCTGAGCCTCTATCAGCCAGTGGTGGTGCAGGCTCTTATATATTACTAAATCTACGTCAAGACTCTTAAGTGCGGCAATTAAGACTTAATTAACATTAATATTAACTTTTTTTAAGATAGACATAGTCGATTAATTTCAGTATTTGAAACTTTGTATTAGTGATTTAAAGTCGGTGGCTTATCCGTGAACAAATTGTTCGAAATTCTAAACAAGTTGCAACAGTAACTTGTATTTCTAATGCTCGTACTTGTAGACATTTCTAAAGTAACTCTACGAGATATTAAAGTTGCATAATATCCAAATTTCTTTGTTATTCGGTTCGGTAAATATTCATGCGTATTCCTTTGAAATGTAAAGCAGGTATAAACAAAGCAACTCCGATTTCAATTAATACTTCCGTGATATTCCGCTGTTTAGAGTGTACACTTGAAAGGGAATACAAATATTCGTGCATTTCATTCGCTGTAATGAGGTACTTCTTTGTAGATATTCGAATGACAGGGGTGCAAACATAAAAGATGTCACGTTTTTTGAAAGTTCGTACTTTATGTACCAAGACATAAAGGGAAAGTCGAAGTTTTCTAAACTAGAATAAAATGGAACTACTATTCTACAACGTTAGGAAATAATTGCATAAAGTTTTATATCTTCTTACCAACATCTACTTATAGTCTAAATACTGCACTTAGAAACACTAAGTGATCACCAAAGGTCTTTAAAATGGACCAATTTACATCTGAGTATAACATCTAGTACCATGTTGATGAATTACCTAGAGCTGCATATAACCTGTCCCGGGTTCATCTGACAGTATCCAGTAACATGCGGTATATCTGCACAGATGAGGGCATTAGCGACCTTGGAAACCAAACCCGCTAGTGCATGCGCCTCGCTCAGCTCCGCTGCGCGCAAGCAGTCGCCGTCAGACCTGGTCACCGCCGCTGGAGACGAGCGCACTGTCTCCGTTAGCATTTCAGCGTTATGCTAAAATAAGAGACAACGACCTACAATTCTTAGGATAAATAATGATTCCTATTACTGTACGAGACCCATAGTTACTTGGGCGAAGCTCTCTAATGACCTTAAGACGTAAGATCGTTTAACTGTTTGAACGGTCAAATAAATATACTGATAACTGTTAAATAATAATTGCAAAATGCAATCGTTCTATGGCTAGAAAATTTGTACAGTAGGAATATATAATTTATTTTAAAATACCCTAGTGAAATCAAAGTATTCAACAGCTTTGGAGAATAACGGCACCAAAGCGTCGCCTTCGGTTCCACCGACGCAGGGCACCTTGCAGTAGGAGGGGTCCAGGCACAACGCCCTCGCGGCTAGAGTACTTGCCCTCATCTCCGGCACAGCCAAGGACCCTAAGAGACGACGGGGACTGTACCAACCCATGTCTGATAACGCCTGAGAGAAAGTAATAGTTACGTTTTAGTTTTATTTGTATTTTAAGGATAAAATTGAGAACAAGTGAAAAGAGATTGGAAATAAAAAGTAAAAGAGAAAGAGTATATTATCTCACTTTGGTAACATTTTGTCTAATAAATAATTTTCCGACAAGCCAGCTTGCGCTAGCTGTACAGTTGAGAGCATACTTTTTTAAATGCAGGCTCAAGCTCTATGCTTTCTGATCATAAATCAATTTTTTTCGTAATCCTATTATTCAATATCACGTTAAAAATACTTAGCAAATACGCTTTACAGAGAATCCAGATAGGAATATACTAAATGAAAAAACAACGTAATCCTTGAAAATCTTCGTAACAAGATTTTCACACTCGCGTACCGACGCAAATTAATCCTATTGCAGCACTTAATTGATTTAATTGAATTATTTCAATGTCAATTCCGTTACAAAGTATGTTATAGGTTATAAGTTATAGAGCGCGTTTATTGCGAAATGTACTCAAATTTTAAGTTTTTGCCCCCAAAACTATTATATGAATTTGGGTTTAAAATTAGCTTCTCGTGTAACACAGCTCTTTTTTATCACGATTTATGCAAGATTAACATATTACTTTTTGACCGACTTCCCAAAGGAAGGAGGTACATAATTCGTCTTTATTTTTTATGTGTGTTACGGCATAACTCCGCCGCTAGTGGACTTATTTTGATAATTCTTTTTTTATCCGAAAGATAGTGCTTGCAGGTGGGTCCTATTTTTTTTTAAATCAATCTAGCAAATAGGCTATTTTATTTATTTTAAATAGTATATTACATATTAGTTCTATTCATTGTGGTTGTAAATGAATTACACGAGGCTTAATATCATGTTACAAACGCGATTTTCTTTGAAAAATCGTGCAACTGTTTACACCTACAATGAGATCAGGTTACCGAGCATTAGCTGCATTGTCTGCGTTTCATTTGCAAATGTTGCAAACATCACTGACGTAGGACTTTCTCATGAAGTCGATAAAGTCTTTGACAATGTTAATTAAGAGATGAAATTCCCCTTAATTACGGGTGAAAAATGGTTAACTTTGAAATTTGTGTTATTTATATTTTGATTAAAGCATTTATTATTGTCAATATTGCTTGGACGTATTTATTAGAGACTTCGTGAATAGGTAGTATAATTTTTATCTATACTAATATAAAGAGGAAAGATTTGTATTTTTGTATGTATTGCAATAACTCAAAAACTACTGGGCCGATTTCAAAAATTCTTACAGAATTGAAAAGCTACGTTGTCAGTGAGTAACATAGGTTGATTTTCACATTTTTTTATTTTCACAGTCGCGAGCAACGGCTAGTGTTTCATATGCTTATATTTTCTTTTGTTAAATCCACACGTGACGGTAAATTTATATGCACACATTCTACTAATCTTTTTTCGCCGTCGTAATGATAAAATCTTTACGAAACTGCCTTTTCCATGTTGGTACGTTAAAAAAGCTTTTACAATCCGAGGTTTATGTTGTCGGGTCATTAGCGCATTGCCGCGGGACATTCTACGCACGCCCCTCATAAGCTCACATCAAAGGCATTCTTGGAAAAACGACAGTATGAGGTTTTTCCTTATAGCTAACTATGTTTTTTTCACATTTGTTTATAATTTTTTAGTTTTAATTTTGTTACTCATCAAAATACTAATTTTACAGAGTCCTGATAGAGCCAGAATATTTATTTCATCACTAACTTTCGTCCACGACTCCGTCTGCGTAGACTTAAAAAAAAAAACAAAAGAAAGTATCCAATATGTTCTTCAGACTATCCTCATCATCAAACTCTAACATACGTTCCTCCATCTAAACTTTCGCATTTTTAATATTAACTAAGAAGTAAGATAGTAAGATAAAATATTTCATGCTTTGTTAGGAAACATCTCTTTTTAGTAATATCTATATCTACTTACGTATATTACTTTTTATTGATAGTAATTTTTCATCAGAAACTCCATCCAAATAAAACTATCAGGACACCGCAAAGTTCCCAACAAAAGCAATAGCGAGCATTCAATACTAAATGGAATAAGTTAATCGCTCCAGCAAACATAATCAAACTCGATAGTTCTATAAACTTGATTGGCTTTGAGAACAATCGCTCCTACGAACGTCTCTATTTCACGTCACCGATACCCACCGGGGTTACGCAAGGAATTACTTTACCAACGTCATTGGATAAAAAAGTACTTATTTCACTTATTGGGAAATTTATTATCGACTTTTTTTTATATATATCATAAGGTGTAAGACTAGCTGTAATCCGCTACTATTAAAAGTAATAAAAAGAAAATAAGCCTATGTGTTTCTACGCCACTATTTTATCGAGAAACGTTCAGTAATTTAGTTAATTTTATCCATCCATTCTATGAATTAAAGGTTGCTAACGCATCTGCAAATGTCTATGGGTACCGGTCGCTTCGCTAAATTGGCGAATTACGGTGGCTGCTTGCTAGTTTGCCATCCGATACTGTAAAAAAGAAGTCGAACCACGCAGTTTAATGTACCGTGAAACTGCGTCAAAGGCTTTACTTGTCGCAGCTTACGTCTTAGCTTATGAAGGAATTCTTTTTTTTTTTTACCAGTGAGACACAAAAAAACTTGATTAAACTCACTTACAATGAAGTAAATGGTCGCAGTAAGTTCAACGCATACAAAAGAATATCAAAAAAAGTATTAACCAGTATACAGTAAAAATATTTTTCAAGATATAGTGAAATGTTGCCATTGCCAATTTGTCTAATAATAGCCAGTTCGGTTCGGGATGTTCTTTATGAAGAGATGAAAGGGCAACGGTTAATTGAGGAAACTTCGAGGAAAATTCTCTTTAAATGGATACCTTTCAACTTGTATAGATGTCGTCAAGGTAAAGACTGTATTATAATAGATAAAGGTAGGGAGGATTCGTTGACCTGTACTTGTGACGGATGACTTTACTCCTAGTTTGTTTACGGAATATTAACAACCCTTATTATTATTTTGTATACCGGTGTTAATTTAATGATTACTTATATGAAAAAACATCTCTAACCGATATCACTTATCGAAATGAGTCTGGCCTTTTACTTTAAAAGCGTAGATTACAATGTTCATTCGATGCAAGCCAGCAATAACGGCTTTTATCCGATCTCTAGAACGCACCGCTTCACTCATAATGAAAGCGTTTGTAGCGGGAGCCGAGACCACAGATTGAAAACTGCAAGCGCGCCGAATGCGTTCGAAATTTGAATACATTTTTTTTTCATGGAAATGTAGTACGACATTTTGCATTATGCCAGTATTCAGTTTACTATTTACTAAAAAAGTATTGTTTGAAAAAATAATGGAACTAATAAAAAAGGACTTTTGTTTTTTTTTTATAAAACAATCTGCTTTAATCTACATGATCGTTCCTGTAAAATTTTTCCTTATGGCAACAGTGTTAATATGTCACACGGAATTTAATCTGTCAGTCCGTATCTCGTAATAATAACTTGGCAGTGTATGGCGAGTGCTGCATTCATAAAGCGCTGATTACATCCATATCTAAGAATTAACGACTCATATTCCAGCTATAAAGTGCTAATGGCCCAATATTATTAGTTCGTAAAGTTTTATGGAAGCCTGTAACGACACTCAATCGCAGTAGCAACAGCCATACAAATCTAATTATTGTATGTTTTTGCATTGATGACCAATTTAATAAACTTTAAATCTCAAGTGCAACCAATCAAATAAATAGGCCTTTGTTGCACAAAAATCAACCTAATCAAAGTAATATAATGTGCTTGTTATTTTTAACACATTACAAAATAGTTTAAGTTCTCAATACGATTGTTATTCTCTTTTACTTTTCTAATTTCTAAATAATGTGGACAGAAGTAAATGATTTTCTAAACTGAAATATTGATAGAGATCATTTTCAAATATTTTAAAGTAAATATTAAGTATCTAAAAAACGCTTTTAAAATACAATACAACCTTAGCCATTAAAGGTACCATGCAGTCGATAGGCGTAGCGCCAACTATGATGAACGCCTTAGGGCACTCATTAGCGATCACGTCTGCGTATCGCTTCACCATCGCCGCTTGGTCGGTGAATCGTTTCTCGTATGAATCCGTGCTGCAAGCTCCGTCCATAACAAGCACTAAATCCGTATTCTAGAAATATAAAATAACGATGTACGAATCAATCAAATAACGATCTACGGATCAGATAATCCATGAAACCACCTTTAATTTATTATTCTAACCAGTTAAGAAAATAAGAACCGTCCAAATTTTGACCTACATTAACATCTCTTGCCACCCAATTACCATAACACGATCTCGTGAAGTTATTTAATTACGAATAAACAATAATTATTAAAACAAATGGAGCAATAGCGACGTGAAATAATTGAACTGTTATACGGCACGAAATATGGAATTTGTTAAAAAAACGAGTCATTGACCCGTAACGTAATATAAAAAGCATTGGGGGGCGCGGTCAGAGGGTTGTGTTTGTCGCCAACTAGCGCCCAATAAGTAGCACGTTGTTAATCAGTAGCGCGTCCCCATTGACTGTAGACACGCGATAGCCTGCCAATTCTGATCCTTATCTGGTATCTTGGCCAAACATTTGGATTAGTTGGTCATTTTGATCTGTATCAAGAAACTTGGCCAAACAGTCGAATTTGTTGGTCGTTTTGAGTCATATCTGGGATCTTCGCCAAGAATTTGGATTAGTTCGGCTTTTAGAAGCAAAGCATCGTTAACTACCAATTTCCGTTAAGAGATATTCAGTACTCCCTCTAGTCCACACTTTTATTAAGTTTAGTATTCGTATAATCCGGTCTTTCCCAGAAGGCATAATCTAAAGATTTCCCATCGTCAGCAAAGGGGAAGATTCTTCTCAATGTAAACTATTGAACTATTACATTAGGTCAATCCTTTGTTGTGTCTATAGAAAGTAGGTAGCAGTTAGATTCGAAAGCCGATAGTTAGAGGCTATATAAAGTTAACTGTATATACGATAGTCGAAAAGTTACGCACATCAAGGTTCTTTCTTGGCAAGCTTACACAACCAGATTGAGATAAGGCCAAAATCGATTCTTGCGAAGTTTTATTCATGTATTTCGCGGTCGGGTGTAGTTTGTCGTATTGATTGGCAGCCCCCGGGGTCGCCACCCGCTTGCAAACGCCACGCCATGCACGACCGACGAAACAAGTCGAGCGGGGAAAACTTCTCATTCCACCAACGCCATTGTACTCGTTTTGTTCAACCTTTAATGATTGCTTTGGTATTTGTGACTAATACAATTTACTTGGAATATTCGCTGTAAAAATATTGTGCTTGGTGACCGAAGCTTAAATAAAATTGATTTTTACTACACTAACCAGCATATTCGTAGTTCAATAGTTCAACCGGAGCTTATCGTTTGCGATGTTTTGTAAAATTCAATGAGGAATTATATTACAATGTTCAGTTCTTTGTGTAAATAGCAACTGGTTCTTGTATTGTACAAAATTGTATCCTACTAAAACTAAATACAGATAGCGAATATAGTTTTACTGTTTGCGTATATCAAATTTAACACATGTTTGCATGTTACTATCAATCGTTAACCACCAAATAGAGTGCAGCGGTGCTGATAATAAAGTTAAGTGTAAAGTGGAGCAAACTTGTTCAGTTTCTCCAACGCTTGCGGTGGCGAGGTGGGCTCTACGATATGCAAATTTCGTAGGGGCGCAGAGAACGTTGCCAATCGAATTTTACGTAGACATGATTTATGAGGCTTGTGTCTCCTTTTAGTTTCGAGTTTTTAAAGTTCTACCATTTATAGAAATATGTTTAATGTACAAATCTTATATCGCACAGATTTAAATGTATTTTTTAACTAAATTTGTTTATAGAATAATTTTCGGTCTCGATTTGAACATTGGCCTTCAGGAGCATAAAACGTAAAAATAGACATTTTTATATCGAAGCAGAAAACATAAATCTAATGTATTACGCTAATGGGATGTTTTTACCGATCTTAGCTTTTAGAAATGTGAAAACTGGAAATTTATGTAAAGTTTAGGTTTTTAATAGAAATTTGCTGAAATGAGATGTCATTTAGGACAATGAAGAATATGAATTTTGCAGGTTTGTTTCATACAATAGTTAAACATAACTTGTCTAAATCAGAAAATTATAGAAAGATTTTAAAGAATTATTGCAAAAAGATGTACGAAAAATTGTAGTTATATTTTCGCGTCTAAGAAATACCTCTACAGCGGTCATCAACTTGCAAAAAGACTTATGGTGTGCCATATTCCGCTGTATTTTCATTGTTACAGCCGTCTAAAGGTGTTTACAAAAAACGGGTCAAAAACATAAATAGGAGTACGATTCACAGTTTCATAACTTTTAGTTTCGAAACAATAATTAATTTTATACTACTAACGAAATAAACCTTATCTTGATATGATAATAAATAGGTGGCAAGATGTAGTTGACTAATTATGTTTTCTTTCAAAGAAAAACAATAATTATTAATACAAACTTAGGTAAAAAACAAACAAAGTAACTGATATCCCACCTATAACACTAACTCATTTATAAACCTTTTCACAACGAAGTAAATTTATTACTCTATCATATAATCAAATGTCTAACATACGTTCTAGCTCTGTACGATATTTGATTCAGATTTATATCTAGTTAGTTACAGTAACTAGGGCGAACAAATCACCTGCAAGCATCTTTCCAGGTCGCAGCAGCTACAACTGAACGCCTGGATGTGGCAGTTGGTATTGATGTGCTGCAGGTCATCCACCACCTGGCACAGGTCGCGATCGCAATTCGGCAGCGGACAACGCGCCTCGTATAGGCGTAGTCTGAAATGGAGCCCAGCATTTGGATACTTAGTTGTACGGGGCAGCCCTGGTCTTTCCTACAATATTGACGCTGTCTCCGATTCTTTGTTAAAACTGGTCCAACTTCAGGGTTGCCACTTGCTCTTTTACTATATTCTACTATGAATTAAGGTAGGTTTATTTTCCTTTTTCAAAACACATAATGTGACCAGTTTTGTCCAATCGAAACTCTTTATAAATGCTTGAGAAAGTACTTAATGTACCATTTATGGTTTTTGGTTTATGTTTTGGGTGATCAAATAGCTTCATAATTAATCAACATTTGTCTGTGCACTGATTACGTTTGCCGCAGCGCAGTAGACAGCTGGCAAACGCGAGCGGCGAGCTATGATCTCTTGACATGGAAATGCGAACACTCTCGAGAGCGTTCTGCACTTCTATCTAAATAATTAAAGGTGACTATTTAAAAATAAACTCACATTTAGTTTTTATTAATACTAGGCTATTTCTTTTTCACAAAATACTGCAAAAGATACGTGGTCGTGTTTATCCCAACAAAAATCGCAAATTAATGTTTCCATATATTTTGGAGATAAAAAGCATACAAGAAAGAAATGCGAAGGTATGAATTCCTTTAGATAAAAACTATCTTTTATAGATCATTCGGTATATCATACATTTACACGCACGCGACATTAAAATTATGCAAACGAGTGTCTTCAATCCCCAAGACAAAGCGACAAAGAAAATTTGTAATTCAAAACTGAGTGGTTCAGATTCCAGTTCTAGGCAAACGTGCAAACTAATAATAGATCTCATTTACACTGCCTGGAAGACTACAGTAGACTAGGTACAGCTAGATTTTATCGACTTCATTTCGAATAAAACGTGACACTGTGTCGGAAAAAATACAAAGTACAGTTTTAACTAAACATTTTTTCTGTCTTGTTATAATTCGCTTTGCGTCTATTCCAATAATAACTGTCGTACTTAGAGTTTTTTAGAAGGGAGTGAAGAAAGAAAGAATCTTAAAGCTGTATTCAATAACGTCTCTAATGGGCTATCTTATCACTTGGCTGCAATAAAGGGCAAGATAAACAACCAGCGTGTCGCGGCACGAATCGTAAAATCTTTGCTCCTTTTATTACATTTACTGAACGATCCATATAACAGTACGTCTAAGGTTTGTGTAAATCTTTGATGCGCGCCTATTTCATGCCTTAGTGGTCCCACGTGCGGGGAATCGTGTATGGCGGTTTTACGCGGCCTGAAAATGTAATTTATCTCTTTCATTTTCAAGATATAATAGTAAGATAAAAATGTATAAGCTATTGAAGATGAAAATGGGCAAAAATTGCAACTTTGTCCTTTTTTACGCACAATTTTTTGTTAAGTATTTTCGCGGCTCACGTGAGGGGTGAAAAAATAATTGCGACATCGTCAAGTCATTGACATATTAGAAATGTGTATTTTATTTGTAATTTAAATGAAATTGCTTTTCAAAAACACATCATAAATTCCATTAACGCTCTATTGCGATGTGAATTCGAGTGTTATTTCGAAGGTAAACGAAATTTCCCGGAAGGCTGCGCTGGTATACAGCTAATTGTAAGTTGGTTGACTCTTTTGTAACGTGTGGATGGTGAATTATTTTTTTTTAATAATTTGTCCTGAATATAACATCCACGAATATAAATATAACAATAAATCTGATATAACTTATTTGCTTATTAAAATGGTAACTTTTAAAATTGATATTTTTAATCTAGTTTAATGTAATTTGACAATATTCCAGAGTAGTCGTAAACAATCTGATTTACTTCGTCAGAAGCGGTTAGAAGTCCGTGACGTCATTCGAAGACGCGGCTTATAAATCCGTTCAGTCGCGTCTCTGGAGATGTTTCGTCTTATCCAGTGACAGGGGTGTCAAAACACGGCTCACATTCCCCACATAGCTCTAAATTTATTGCAACTCGCTGAGGGATATTACATTACACGGGCGTTTGAATGAATCTATTTCTTTTGCTTATGGGAAATTGCATATGCAAAAGATTTTTTAAATATATACATCAGTACGTGCACGAATCTATACTCATATTATAAAGAGAAACTATTTGTACTTTTCACCGACTTCCCAAAATAAGGAGGTACTCAATTTGTCTGTATGTATTGAAATAACTCAAAAAGTACTAGGCCGATTTTTAAAATTCTTTCCCCGTTAGAAAGGTAATCTATCTGTGAATAACATAGGCTAAAGTTTTTTATAATTTTCAATTTCACGCGCACGAAGTCGCAAGCAACAGCTAGTCTTAATTTACTGGAACATTAGTTAAAATTCTAAATTATTTATATTCGCAAGAACTAAGTGGCGTATCTCAGAAAGAATATTACGAATAGGGCTCCTACATTGTTTCATAATTTTGAATTATCTTAAAACTTTTAATGAAATGTTTTCGACTCACTTTTTTATACAAGGGCATTGCTTTAGCAAAAGCGCGGTGTACTGGCCTACGGTGGTCTCAGCGCCAAGCACCGATACTTGAACCCCGGGGCGCGGCGCGGGCAACGGGAGCGGCTCGCGTACGGGAGCGGGCAGCGCCTTCTGACCCTCCGGCACAATCTGTGGCGCCGTTTCCTCTTTGCCCTCCTTCTTCGTTTTTTCACAACGCAATTCACGAAATGGCGCTACCAGAAGTTATAAAAATTTAATTTTAAAATCCTATCCTACTGGTATGGGAGCCGAAGTTGTTTATTTCTGTTTTCCACTTGCAAAATCATATTACGTAATGTACACAACAGATGTCTCCTGAAATTACAGCTCCGTCGAGACGTTGCATTTTATTACCTGAGTGTAATGAGCCAACACGGTAATGCTGGATTTTATTTATGCCCAGAACATCGATTTATAGGTAGCCGTAAGTGTAAAATATGTTTAGGCAATATTCTATGAAATAGTACTGTATTCACAAATCAAGAAAGTGGATATTGCCGGGAAAATTACCATAAAGTCCCTACCATTTTATTTATTAAGGGTCGGCACAATATTTACTATTTTTGCATACATCTCTATCAGCTGTCGAAACTTAATTCGCTCCTTTCACAAATGTTTTTTTTTCACACAAATTTTGTCATAAAACAATATAAAAACATACTTCCAAAGTTAGTTCCCCCTTCAATAATTTTCAATTTTATCCTGTGCAGTATCCCCTTCTTTTTCTTCCTCCTCTCACAAGGTCCGGGACAAACTTCATCCTTTTTGGGTGGTATGTCTACTATAGCTTTCCTACAATCTTTGTTATCGTCTTTAAATTTCGCATAATATCTAAATAAATTAGTATCATGCCTATTTATAAAACTTCCAAACAGATATTTAGATCTTGATATGAGATTTGATGTAAACATTGCTAGAATTTAGATTTATTTACATTAAAAGAACCTTTCTGCGGTCGTTTATTTGACTTGTGACATATTTATTTTTGACAGAAGAAGTTCAAAACACGTCTGATACTTTGCGGAGGTTTTATGTATAAGTAAAAAAACCCAATGATTGATAATTTTCAATGAAGTATGGAAACCCATACAGTGGAAACCCACTTTCTAAATAAGTCTCAAGTAAGCCTGCGCACAAACTTGTTTAAACTATCCCATAATTTTTTAGACGCACTTTGATTTATTTGAACTTATACGGAGGTGCGCAGGAAACGATCACCAACAAAGAAATCAAGTGAGAAAGACCAGAAGCAGAAACAGAGTAGAGGAACTTA